AGCAGGATCCACTGTCCATTAAGTGTATGACATGCATGAGGGATCAGGGCCTTGCTCAAGCAGTGAAGTCATGCTTAGCACAATGCACTTTAAGGCTGGTATGGATTTCAAGATGTCTGTGTGTGTGTATCAGCTATAATAAAGTTAAGAATATTAAGTTTTGTCCTGTCAGAGTGATAAAAAGTGATCTTTTATTAACTAGTAATCCATAAATACTGTTTTCTGTTTCATCACTCTCCACACATTTGTGTTACCTTCTCATAAAAAAGACCATAAAGAAGCATGAGGTCTTCTTAAGGATTTTTTTTCTCCTGGTTTCTCTCTTGCTTCTTTCACACATCTCCCTATGGCCAGAGGATTTACATTTGCAGTCATCTTCATTCCTAGAAATTCCTCATTTGAAAATTAATGAAGACACCAGCATCAGAACATGTCCAATGGAAAGAATCCTAGAAAAAGCATCTGTTTTATAGGACACATAAAGATTGCTCATTCATTCATCCAACAAACACTAATAGACCATATACTAATGCCAAAAAATGTGCTGGGCATAAGAAAAGAGTTGAGAGATAAAGTCCATGCCTTAAAGTCACCCAGACGAGTGGAGTGTGCTGAGAGCACATGGAAGAGAACAGGCTAACTCAGTCTGGAGGTTAAGAAGGCTGAGTTTCTAAGGAAATAGATAGGAACTAGCCATATCAAAGATGAAAGAATGCTCCAGGAAAAGGGACCATAAGAAGGTTAGAAAGCATGGTGGCATGGGAGAAATAGCTTGTAGTGCCTGGACCTCAGGGTACATTTAAGAGAGGAAGTGGCGAGAAATGCTGCTGATGGGGTAGACAGGAGCAGATCATGAAGGCTCATAGGTAGCAACTAAGGAATTTATCCTAAAGGCTGTGAGATCCTGTTTACACACAAACTGACATAACCAGGTTTTTATTTTAGAGAAATGACTCTCCCAATTATGTAGACAATAGATTGAGCAGGGTAAGACCAGAGATCTACACTTGCTTGAAAGCAAGTGTCCAAGGACAGTATTTTCCGAGAATGTCGAACCGAATTGATTGGCCACTCTGTATGTAGCTCCACCTTCAGCCTCTTCTTTGAATTCCCTTCTTCCATGCCATTTTCTACCACAAGTATCCTTATTAGTCATATGATGTATGTCAATTGGAGGATTTCTAGTGTAGTTGATATTTTATTGCTACACAACTTGAATTTCAATTTGCCTTCCATCTGGGGCTTGGTAAACTGCCATGCACCTTTGGACCTTTCCATAAAAAGTAATTTATGAACTTTTGAGAGAAGTTGGTATTCCCAAAGCTAGACTCTTAAGACTGAGTTAGCCTTAGTCTAAGAAGATATAAGTAAGTTAAAAGAGTTATTTCAAATTGGAAGAAAAATAATGTCCTTGCATTTAACTAGACATTTCCATATTTAAATCCAGACTGACTCATATCTTCTAGATCTGTCTACTTGGCTCCTTTAATAGAGCTCCCTGGGGTATGTCTTTAGGCTGGAGACTTTCACAGGTCTTAAGCAACTGTTTGATATTCCCATCTCATCCTCCTCCTCATCCAGGAAGATTTAAAGTGAAAATGTGTAGCATAAACAAGACCTTAAATTTTGTTCCAGGAATTTGATAATGACAATACCAAAAGGCCATCTTGGGTCTTGATCTCCTGCATTAAACAAACAGGTTCAAGATTTATTATAACACAACAAAAACTCTACAGGTCATAGGCATCTTGAGTCATATCATATAAAATAAAGTATTTTTAGATACTATTCTTAAGGAGAGGTCAGCAGGGCTATGTAAAAGGGCCAGTATTTTCCTTCCTTTTATGGTTTCATTTCTACTGGAAACACTTTTTTTTAACAATCCAGAATTTGCCTTTGCATTTTCCATTTTTAACCAAAAACACAAAACCACGAAGGTACGAAGGCTGACTTTTAAGCCTCCTCACACTGTTTCTGCTGCAAGTCCACATGCAAAGCTGTGGGAAGGCAGAAGTACTTTCTGAGATCTGTTTGGCATTGGATACATCCCCTCAATGATGAACCGCTGCAAGTTATGGGGGCAGTTCCATGAGTGAGCATTAGCGGTCAAAGGGTACTCACGCCTCAGAAACAGCATGGTGGGAAAAGATGCTATGCATAATTTAAGAGGCTCCCGCCAGCACTTTTGATAGCTCCTGCCCTTATACCCACCAAGCATTTGACCCCTTTGGAGCCTGCAGATCTAACATTCTCTCACAAGTGCTGACACACAACTGGGAAGGAATCAGGTGGCCCACTCTGCCTGATAAGGTGACTTTCAGTCTCTATGTTGATATCAGATGAGCATCCTATACCAAGAGAAATAAGTATTCTGAAACAATCAGAATAAATATAGCCATGTTTCATTTTTATTTAAAACAATAAACAACAACTTGGGAATTAAACGTGGCCAACATAGGTTGAACAGCAGCAACAATAACATAGGTTGAAATTGAAGAAAATTTTTAATATATTTTTATTTGTAATTGAAGGATAATTGCTTTAGAATACGGTGTCGGTTTCTGCCATACATCAACATGAATCAGGCATAGGTATACATATGTCCAGGGCTTCCCAGTAAAGAACCCGCCTGCTAGTACAGTAGACATAAGAGACGTGAGTTCGATCCCTGGGTTGGGAAGATCCCCTGGAGCAGGGCAAGGCAACCCACTCCAGTATGCTTGCATAGAGCATCCCCATGGACAGAGAAGCCTGGCAGGCTATGGTCCATAAGGTTGCAGAGAGTCGGACATGACTGAGCAACTAACACTTTCACTCACTTTCATCTGCTTTACCTATGGTAGTGTATAGTATATATTTCCATTCTACTCTCGAAATTGAGGGAAATTTTAAGGCACCTATATTGCATGCTAGTAGCAGATGCTCTTTTCTGTTTTTCAAGTTTTGAGTGTTTGCTGAAGGATCCCATGATTTGAAGAAGGCAGAAGAGGTTTGGGATGAGACCCCACCTAGTAAGGGTCATCTCTGAAATTGCCTGATTATCTGGCAGGAATGCTATCTCCTTGCTAAAAGCCTGCCGCTAGATTAATGCTAGCATTTGAAAATCTACTTGGGCCCGATGATGGGCAGCAGGGGAAGGAATGTATTTTTTGTTTATCTCTTCAGTGGCAGAAATGGTCATCACAAAAAGACTCTGAGCTCCCAGTTTCAGGCAGGCCTGGAAGTTGTGTAGTCTGTGGTCTGTGAATGTACACACCAGCTCAGGAATAATGGGAAAGAACTGTGCCTGTATTCACAGCCAGTTGCCTGCGATGGTTGATGGGTTAGTCAGTTTCTTCAGCTTGATAAGAGGGGCAGATCCTGCCACATGGTTCAGAGAGGAAGTGTTACCACCCCCATTGCTCTATCTCCCAGGAATGCAATTTGAGTTGTGTCTCCTCCTTGACAGCTTGGACCTCAGTAAATTACCAGGGTCTTGACCCAAGAGATGGAGAAGTCTTAAGCAATTTTTCAGTCTCCTATCTAAAAACGTGTTTACATTTCTTGAACTCTGGCTGACTGATTCATTCTCCTGGTGTTGCAAGAACTTTCCTTATGCATTAGAATTTATAAGTTTCTTTTCTAAGAGACTCATGGTTCCTTCCAAGCCACCGTCAAGTGAACCTCATCGCAACGCAATTTTGTTGGGCTGGATTTGTCCAGAGGATGGATCAGGGCCAAGCAGCTGTGATGTGGCAAGATCAAGTGAGGCTAACAGGAGGAGGCGTGAGGTGGAGGGGAAAAGTAGGAGATACTAAGTCAGGAGGAGGTCTGGGTTCAAGTTCTGGTCTCACGCTCGTTCAAGAAATGGCCTTGAGCCAATCATATGAAATCACTCTCTGGGCCTCAGTTTCCCCAGTTATCTCAAATAACAAAAGTTTTCAATCTGTGCAGAAGCCATTTTCCAGCAAGTTAGAACAGCTGAGAAACAACAGGAAAGGGAAAGGGAAAGTCAGGCCACAAAGAAAAAGTAGAGGCTTCAGGTCAAAGAGGCAAAGATGCAGAATTGCATATGGCCGGACTCTTCACAGAACCACTTAGGAGTAGCAAGTATGTAAAGAACTTTGTGTTGGACACTAGTCCAGTACAAGAGACTAAAATCCTTTTCAGAGGAGCCATGCACTTAGCTGAATCTGTTCCTCAAATAAACATTCCTTTACAGACATGAAATTTACTTTCTTTGGGGAAAAAAAGAAAAACAAAATAAATCCTGCCTCTAGCAGCATGAAGTTTGAGTCAGGCAGTCTTGGACTCAAATCCTTACTCAAAACCTCACTAGTTGCACATCCTTGGGTGGATTACTTTATCTTTTGAGCCTCAGCGCTTCCACAGCTATAGAGAGTATGACAGTACGACCGTGGCGGAGAGTCATGAAGGTTACACGCCAGCCCCATGTGGTTGTCCGTTTGTGCCTGCTTCTGGGTGAGCGGCAAGATTTCTGTTCGTCCCCTCCCACCAGCCCCGTTTTGACCTTTGCCTTTGTTTGCTTGCGTTTCCACCTCTCCTGTTGCCCCTTCACATAATGAGGAAAAGGGAAGGCTCTGATCTCTCTCTCTGGAAGGTTGCAGAAGCATCTTCCTACTTCAGTGAAGTAGGATCATACAAAATTTATATTCAACAGTATCAGCAGATTTTTTTCCATCAATATTTCCTTTTTAATTTCAGCTTTATCTGAATTTTAGTAGCACAAAGAATTTACTTTTGTACTTTTAAAGAGCAACCAAAACAAGAAAAATAGAAATTTGAATATAAGGTCTATAACACTTTATTAAATGGAGCATTTAAACTGTGTCTGTAGAGTTTACATGTGTTATTTGGTAAGTAAATATGAATGCCATAAGTATGTGTGTGTTGATAGTCTTACACATATGAACTAGGTGTGTATGTGTATGGTATATATAAAAATTCATGAGACCTATATCTGACAACCTTGACCCTTTTCTCTCTGATTTTCATCATAGTAAACACTGAATACAGAACAGATCTTCATATGAACCTTAATGAGACCTCAGCTTTGACTCAAAAGCCAGAGAATCAGGTACAGTATTGATTCTGCATGAGCTAGTGACTGGGAGTCGGGACTTTGAGGTTCTTGTCCCTGCTTGCTGTGTGACCCTGGGTGAGATTCTTCACCTCTCTGGGCCTCATTTGCTTCATCAATTAAATGAGACAAGTAGACTATAAAATCACAGAGGTTCCTTAACTCATAGACTTGGAATGTCTTAACTCAACTTGAACTGTTTTGTCTGGCTCTTCATAAGCGCGAATAAGCTGAATAGGCCTTTCCCTGACTTCTGCAAAGTCAAAAGGGAACAGGGAAACACAGAGAGGCATTCTCCATGGAGGCAGTGAGGACGAAGACTTTGTGCCAACGGGCCTGATTTTTCCTACTTTAACTCTTATTCCTAATGGGGAGAGAAAATAATAGCAACTAAGGAGAAAATGCAAGGAGACTGTGAAAAAAGGAGAAAAATGCTTTATCTGGGTGGATTAAGAATACTTATTAGTGATTCGAGGACATATGTTCACAAATATTTATAAATTAGTTCCTTCAATTAAAGATTTGAAGCCGGCACTGCCTTGAGATCCACTCTAGAGAGGCACCTCGGGGTATTTCCTAGAGCTTCGCGGGTCTCGGCAGACACAGCACAGCCCAGGGCTCTCCCTGTCGAGTGACAGCCGGGGCAGGGGGGGTTGGAGGGGTGCCGGTGGTTGAGAGATGAACCAACATGGCCTCTATTTCTCCCTTATCTCCAACTTCCTGGCTTTCTCCTCTTCGCTCACACTCGTTAAAAAACAGTAATAATAAAAGTAGCTTTGTTTCCCTGTGTGTGCCTAGTTGGTTCTGAGGAAGGACCTGAACTCTCGCTGTTAGGACCGCAGGCCTGGGTCAGGCCTCCCCTGAGCTAAAACACAACTGAGTCGACCCTTCCTGCTACTGAGGACCCACACAACCAACATTTGCATTTTTTTTTTAATGTGCCTGCTTTGAAGAAACCCTTTATATGGAATGTGAAAGCTTTTCTTTTTCAAGAGAGGCTGTGACTGAGGAAAATATGCTGTATTTCAATAATTCCACAACTCCAAAGGCCTTGCAAATACCTCATGTACTCCAGATTCGCACAGCCCCGTCATTATATTCCAGGAGACCTCATATCACCTGCAATAAGAGTGGCTCAACCATGTCAAATTAAATCCTAGACTGAATTATGAACCTTGCAGCCAGAAAGAGGAACACCAGACCCAGGGTCTTCAACTCTAATCCTGGGTTTCCCCTGTGAGGTAAACCCACTCACTCTGAGACTTGCCTGAACCCCCACTTTGTGCAAGGACGGGAGTTGTTCCCACCAGAACCTGTTGGTTTGTTCAAGTCACAGTAGTCTTACTTCCTTGAGAAGTGGTCCCAGAAAGGAAAGCCATCAAGGAAACGTCTAGGAAGTCTCACCAGCCTCCAAACCCAGAGAAAATGGGGGTAGGGCCTGGGAGGGGGAGGTGCCTTCCATGCCTTCCTCACCCCCTTACTTCTTGAGGCTAATGGCTCTTTATTAGATTAATCACTGACTTCAACTTTAACTACTTCCTCAACCTACTCCATGTAAATGGCTAATTTCATGTTTACTATAAAGCATCTGGAAAGNGAAAGAGTGGGGAAGAAACCTACAAGAGGAAATTCGGAGATGAGAAAAGAAAAAAAGAAAAAGGAGACAAGCAGACGTGTTTCAACTCCAAGCTCCCACTTCCTCTTTCAAATGAGCTGCTTCCCCACTGTGAACAGAATCAAGTATTTATGAAGGCATTTTTTGCATATTAATAACTGCATGTGGAACATTTCCAGTTCTGAAGTCCTAAAGGTATGGTGCCCTTTTTTAAATGCAGGTCCTTCAAACTCCTCACAGAATTTGGTATTCTCCACATGTATTTTCCTTTCTGCCTTGTGGCTCCTCCTAAGGCATTTCATTTGATTAAGGGAAATTAGTTCCTGGGATACCGTCAGAAACGAAGCCCTGCTCTTACCTCTGCGGCTGACCTCAATCACTAGAGATTTTCCTCTTCCCCAGGGCCTCACTATGTAAGAGGCCAAAGGTTGGGTGAGGTGAGCGGAACCTAAAAAGATTGTTAAAAGTGTAAATTAAAATTCTATAAGGAAGGGTTAACATACCTTTCTTCAGTGGGGAGAAAGTAAAACTTTCTTTAAAAAAGTAAGAAAAATAATTATAATTGCAGTAATTACAACAGCATTACTATCTATGCTTGGTAAAGATCACATTCAATTTTAAAAGAAAAATGTTGGGCTTCTCTGGTTGGTTAAGAATCTGCCTGCCAATGCAGGGGACACAGTTTCGATCCCTGGTCCCAGAAGATCCCACATGCCACAGAGCATATAAGCCTGTGAGCCCCCGAATGCCCTAGAGCCTGCGCTCCGCAGCAAGAGAATCTAGCACAGTGAGATTCCGCAACTAGAGAGAAGCTCTGGAAAGTCTGTGTGCGGCAACAAAGACCCAGAACAGCCGAAAAAAATAAGTAAATCTTTTTTAAAAATAAGAAGAAAACAAAACCAACTAGAAAAATAAGCAAAAGACATAAATAATTCATATGAAAAGTGATAGTAATAGAAAACAAATATGGAAACAATATTCATTTCTGAGTAGCAATTTAAATTCAAATTGAAAAATAAATAAATAAATTCAAATTGAGGCAAACTGGAGGTACAATTTTATATCTGAGATATGTGCCACCTCTCACCTTTTTTTAATGATAACACCCAGTACTGCTGAGTTTTTGGCAAAACTGGTACACTTATACACTTCTGGAGGGTTGTAATTTGATTCAAACCACTTGTAAGGGAAAATGGCAATATAATTTGTATAACATGAAAAAATATTCATACCCATTGATTCAGTATTTCTGACATTTGGGGATTTATCCTAAGGAAATAATTCAGCAGGGGAAGAAAAAAAAATCGAGTGAGGATGTCCTAGAGAAAAACTAGAAACAATCAGAGAAACAATTCAATTAATTGTGAGGGGTTTAATTCCAGCATTTAAAAAAAATGATGCCTGTTCATCCTAGAAATGTGATTTAGTACAAAAGGTTTAACACAGGATTTCTCAACTTCAACACTCTGAGCCAGAGCTTTCCTGGGCATCGTAGGATGTTGAGCAGTACCACTAGCCTCCACCCACTGGGTACCAGTAACACAACCCGCTCTTCAGTGACAGCGTCTCCAGTCTTTGCCAAATGGCCCCATGGAAGGTGAAAATTACACACACCCCAGCCCCAGCTCCATGTTGAGAACGTTAACGTTAACGTTCTCAACAATTTCATTTTAAAAGTGGAAATCAAAGTGATGTCAACTATGACTGCAACTATATTAAAAAAAATTACTGTATCTATAAAGACTTGCAAATAATACACCCAAAAGAGCACAGTCATACTTGTTTGAAATTATGAATATGTTGAGTTTTTTTGTTTTTATTTTATCTTCCTGGTTTTTTATTGTTTTTCTTTCTTTTCTATTTTTTCAAAATTCTTGCTGTAAGGAGGAAAAGTGGGACTATGAGCAGAGCTGGTTTTATTCAAGCCTAGCTTAAAATGATCAGGAGTCACAGTAAACAGCAAATATACAGCAAGTGAAACAAGGCTCAACGCCGTAGTGCCATTATTAACTACTGTTAATTGAAGTTATTTACCCTTAATTAGGCTTTCATTAGATTATTAGATAGGACCATCAGAATTCTCCTCTTAAGGATCTCAAGCCCTTGTCGGCATTTTATCCCTCTGATCCAAGACTTTGGGGAGGCAACAAATTCACCTATTTTTCTGAAAAGTCTGGATCTCAGAGTATCAAACTCTAATCATCCAGATCCATCTTTTTAAGCTGGGGTCTAGACAGGCCCTGAGCCCACTGATTTATCGAGTTGTCAGGGCAGAAAGGTTGTCAGTAAAAGAGTATCAGAATACAAGCTCAAACTTTATTAGATTCTCCAAGAATCACTGTGTCTCTGTTTAAAATAAGACAGAAACCATCTCACCAGTTTTGACATTGTCTGTTCTCTCCCTTCGTTAGGGAGAGCAAACATCCTTTCTCACTTGCTTTATCTTGGGTTTTGTTGTGTTGCTTTGTGGGGATTAGAACTTTGGTAGTATCCTAAAAATCCTGTTAAACAAGAATTATGTCTCTTTTTCCCATTTCACAAAGCCACTTCTATTTCGACCTATACTGCCTTCCTGAGTTCAGATTTCATGAATGTACATCAGTATAAATTCATATTTGATCTTGTGTGTCCTAAATTTACCTCTTTCAGATTTCCAAGAGCAGCCTGTAATTCTAGCGCACTAAGGATTTAGGTTGAATAAACCTATGTTTACCCCATCTGCTTCCTTGGTGGTTTCACAGATGGTGTTCATATCCCCTTTCAGCCTTCCTCTTTCAGGAGAAAAAAAAGAACACCTGTAGACACACTAAGTTTTTGTGCAAGGGTACAAAGGTAAGCTTTTGTTTCAATGTCCTTCTGATCCATAGCCTGCCTTTTGTTGAACTTTTTAGCTGTCATCTTAGAGAACAAGCTACTACTCTTTAAAGACAGACTTTTTTTTGTATCTGCTCTACTCATCCTAGCATCTCACATGTTTAGGACAGTTCTTGGCATGTGCTACCTCCTCAAAAAAAGAAAAATTGACAGATAAATCTCTTACTGACATTAAGGTCCATGTCCTAGATGGGAAAAACCTCTAAATAGGATTCAGAGATTGCAAGTTTTTTAATACTTACTTATGTATTTTAGTTGGCTTTGGCTATACCAGGTCTTAGTTGCAGCATTCAGGATCTTCCATCTTTCATTGTGGCATGCAGGATCTTTAGTTACAGCATGCAAATTCTTTTAGTTGCAGTCTGTTGGATCTAGTTCCCCAACCAGGTATCAAACCCAGGCCCCTACCATTGAAGGCACTGAGTCTTAGCCACTGGACCTCCAGGGACGTCCCAGGTTGCACTTGTTTTATTTCCAAGGAAATGATATGGAAGTTCGGCTCCCATTT